TCAGCCTCAGCCTCAGCATCAGTCTGCCTTCAGCCTCGGCCTCAGCCTCAGCCTGCCTCAGCCTCACCCTGCATCAGCCTCAGCCTCAGCCTCAGCCTGCCTCAGCATCAGCCTGCCTCAGCCTCAGCCTCAGCCTGCTGCCTCTGCCTCAGCATCAGCCTGCTTCAGCCTCAGCCTCAGTCTGCCGTCGGCCTCAGCCTCAGCCTCAGCCTGCCTCAGCCTCAGCCTGCATCAGCCTCAGCCTCAGCCTCAGCCTGCCTCAGCATCAGCCTGCCTCAGCCTCAGCCTCAGCCTGTTTCAGCCTCAGGCTCAGTCTGCTTGCAGCCTCGGCCTCAGCCTCAGCCTGCCTCAGCCCTGCCTCAGCCTGCCTCAGCCTCAGCCTCAGCAGCCTCAGTCAGCCTCGCCTCAGTTCAGCCTCGGCCTCAGCCTGCCTGCCTCAGCCTCAGCCTCAGCCTCAGCCTCAGCCTCAGCCTCAGCCTCAGCCTCAGCCTCAGCCTCAGCCTCAGCCTGCCTCAGCCTCAGCCTCAGCCTGCCTGCTCAGCCTCAGCCTCAGCCTCTGCCTTCAGCCTCTTCAGCCTCGGCCTCAGCCTCCTCAGCCTCAGCCTCTGCCTCAGCCTCAGCCTCAGCCTGCTTCAGCCTCAGCCTCAGCCTCAGCCTCAGCCTGCCTCAGCCTCGCCCTGCATCAGCCTGCCTCAGCCTCAGCCTCAGCCTGCCTCAGCCTCAGCCTCAGCCTCTGCCTGCTCAGCCTCAGCCTCAGCCTCTCAGCCCGTCGGCCTCAGCCTCAGCCTCAGCTTGCCCCAGCATCAGCCTGCCCCAGCCTCAGCCTCAGCTTGCCTCAGCCTGAGCCTTAGCCTCAGCCTGCTTCAGCCTCAGCCTCAATCTGCCTCGAGCCTCGGCCTCATCCTCAGGCTGCCTCAGCCTCAGCCTGCATCAACCTTAGCCTCAGCATCAGCCTGCCTCAGCATCAGCCTGCCTCAGCCTCAGCCTCAGCCTGCTGCCTCTGCCTCAGCCTCATCAGCCTGCTTCAGCCTCAGCCTCAGTCTGCCGCCTCGGCCTCAGCCTCAGCCTGCCTCAGCCTCAGCCTGCATCAGCCTCAGCCTCAGCCTCAGCCTGCCTCAGCATCAGCCTGCCTCAGCCTCAGCCTCAGCCTGTTTCAGCCTCAGGCTCAGTCTGCTTGCAGCCTCGGCCTCAGCCTCAGCCTGCCTCAGCCTCAGCCTGCCTCGGCCTCAGCCTCAGCCTCAGCCTCAGCCTGCTTCAGCCTCAGCCTCAGTCTGCGTTCAGCCTCGGCCTCAGCCTGCTTCAGCCTCAGCCTCAGCCTGCATCAGCCTCAGCCTCAGCCTCAGCCTGCCTCAGAATCAGCCTGTCTCAGCCTCAGCCTCAGCCTGCCTCAGCCTCAGCCTCAGCCTGCTTCAGCTTCAGCCTCAGTCTGCCATCAGCCTCGGCCTCAGCCTCAGCCTGCCTCAGCCTCAGCATCAGCCTGCCTCAGCATTCAAAATGTGGCCCGGGAATTGAGTTCTGGGAACTCGAAGACCACGAAATGGCCTACAACAGTTGGATCCGGGCATTCAAAAATCATGCTCCGGAATTGAGTTCTGGGAACTCCTCGAAGACCACGAAGTGGCCTACAGTTGGCTCCGGGCATTCAAAATGTGGCCCAGGAATGGAGTTCTGGGAACTCGAAGAACACGAAGTGGCCTACAGTTGGCTCCGAGCATTCAAAATCATGCCCAGGAATGGAGTTCTGGGAATTCGAAGACCACGAAGTGTGCAACTGTTTGCTTAGAACGACTTCCGCGGATTCTCCCTGGCACCCGTCCGGCATCTGCCCAGACCCCCCTGAGGTGTCAAGATGCTTTCTTTTAAAACCATTAGAAACCTATCAGGATTCGCTGTTAGGTAAACACGTTGCCAGCGCGGCTGTCTCTCCCCACCAGCGCCGCTATAGAATCCTCTGGGCCCTTCTGAGAAGCCCCCTGCTTTCTTAGAAGGCCGCCCCCCTCCCCCCCCCGCGCCACGCAATGGACTTGAACCAAAATGGCCACGGATATCTTGGAGTGGAGGGAAGAAGAGAAAGCAGGGGGAAGGTTAGGAGGAGGGGTAGGAGGAGGGAAAAGGAATCATAGGGAGGCAGGGGATGACGAAATGAATGGTGGGTAGTAGGATGAAGAGGTTGTGTGAGTCAGAATTGTTCACGCTTCGCGAAGCCCCGCCAGCCCACCCTAAAGTGCACTGCTTATCGGAAGTTGCGCTCTCTGTCTGGGCAGTGGAGGCCAAGACTCAGGAGTAGAGCGCGAATACGACGACGACAGGAGTCAATACCAACACTTGTGCTGTCGTTCGCTCTGGGGGCGTCTTGTAAGCCTCTGCAGGCCATCGTAATATGCGTCGACAGCGACGAAAGCGACGACGACGGCTACGACGAAACCGACGACGACATGAGTCGATATCAAGACCTTTGCGATCGTTCGCTCTGGGAGCGTGTTGTAAGGCTCTTCTTAAATTGCGGGGTGGAAGCAGGAAACCTTTTTTAAACGCTCACGCCCTAAAGGGCTGGTGGAATTGCGGTCGCACGCGCTGCGTCGTTTATCTGGGCAAGGGTCATGCATCATCCGTGGGTTAGCTGTAGGGCCCAAGGAGGCGCAATTTATTGCATTTATCATGTCGGTTTCCTCTGATGCATCCTTGCCTAGCGCACCTCCTGATAATATAGAAGATGATGGAAATGACGCTTTGCCGGAAGAAACTTATAGCGATGTCATGAGTGATGTATCCCTTCCAGACGGGCAGCCTTCTGACCATGATTGCATGGAGGGCGAAGAAGGGGACTCGTTAACTGACGATGTTGAGGAGGAGACGGGCGAAGACTTCGGGGAAGCTTTCGCGGATGAGGCTGAGGAGCAGGACGCCATGCAAGCAGCATTCCATACCACTACAACAATGGGTCGTCACAACGTGCCTCTACCAACAGAATGCAGCTTGTTAGGTTCACATGACATTGCAGAGGTGCATTCGCCGCCGAGGCTGCTGCCAGCAGCCAGAGGACTAGGGCTGTCTGGAACCCTGTCGTGCGACATCCTGACAGGGTGGGATTTCAGTCAGACTGGAATCAAAGCTAAATTCTGCCAGCTTCTTGTTCAGCTCAACCTATTGTTTATAATGATGAGCCCGCCATGCACTATGTTCTCAGCGCTGCAAGCTTTATGGAATTTGAAGCGAATGAGCAGGGATGTCATTGACAGGCGCATGAAGGAAGCGCTTGGCTTCATCGAGCACTGCATGGCACTCGCGATGGCCCAAATAGAGAGATCGAACTTCTTTTGCTTCGAGCATCCAGCGTCTTCTAGTGCTTGGAAATTGGAATGCGTTCAGGAGGTAAGTCGGCTCCCTGGGGTATTCAAAATTAAATTCGACCAGTGCCAATGCGGCTTGATGACCCCGCTTGGCCGCCGCCCAATGAGGAAGCGCACGATTTTGATGTCTAATGCCTATAGCATTCGACGCAACTTCTCGAATCTCATGTGCAGAAGAGACCATGAGCATCAGCTTGTAATGAGCAGTGAGTGCGGTATGAAGCTTTCTGTCTGGGCCCAAATGTACCCCCAGCCAATGATCGAAAGGCTGGTTGAATCTGCAGCAGAGCTCAAACGTAATCGCGGAAGCTAAGCGCGTTGCGCCTGCGAACTTTGGGGCAGGCCAAAGGATCTGATTGCATTGCGCAGGCGCAACGGTGGTGTAAACATCTCCCCCTCTTGCCCTTCCTCCCCTCCCGCGATTGTTGTCGTCCGCTTTCGCAATGGATTGGATCCAGAAATCTAGGAGATCGCATCGCATGGGGGGCGGAGAATCCAGCAGATCGGTCAGATCCGGCAGATCTCGTCGCCACGAGGGGACCCTGGGGGAGAGAGATCTGCTGGGCCCACAAGATTCCGGCAGATCTGCGCGCCCCCCGCGCGTGCACAGCCCGACAGAACTGCGGGGAAAAATTGTTTCCGGCAGATCTGGCTTGTTTTGGGCTGCCCACTCTGCTGTTGGCTTGGCGGGGGGGGGGGGCGTGATCCAGCGCGACTGGGCGCTGTCCTGTGAGGGGGGGGAACTAGCGTCTGTACGTTAATTTTAACGTCTTGCGTTCGATCACTTCTAGACGTTAAAAATAACGTCCTTGTGCGATTATCGCACTCAGGCAGGGCATGCGATATTGTCGATCGCAGCTCTGCTTTTCCTCGATGCATATTCGTGTGCGTTGCAAAAAAAAACTCAACTGCTCTCCTCCTCCTCGTCGTTATTCTCCCCCTCCTCCTCTTTTTGCTTCCCCTCTCCTCTCCTCTCTCCTTCTTCTCTTCTCCGTGTTCGGCTGGCACTTCCGACTCGGTCTTCGTTCGGGCGGGGGGGGGGGGCGAGGGAAGCGGCGCGCGCGGGGGGGCGCCCCTGGCGCCGCCGCGCCGCCGCCCGCCCCGCCCAGCCATTGGAAGAGGGATTTGGGTCCAGGCCGTCTGTTGCTCTAAATCTAGCTCTCGCCATGGTGCCGCGCACATTGGTTGCCGCGGAGTGATGAACGGAGGTGGCATGAGACCTGAAATTAAATTCCTGCCTCGACGCCACGCGCGACAGTTTTTGTATATAACAATCACGCGGGTCGAGGGGGCGCGTTACTCAATGTGGCATTCTCGCCTCAATGCCGCGAACATTTGCTATATATATCCCCAGTTCTAGCGGATTCACATAAGGGCGACTCAAAATGGAGCTCACGCCTTAGCGCAGCACGTAATTGGCTTACAACATTGCTGCAGCTCCACGGATGGAGGGCGCGTCCAATGTGCAATTTCCGCCCCAGTGCCGCGCGCATTGGGCCGCTGCGAGAAGGAGTGCGCGCATGGACATAAAAGGGGGGGGGGGGGGTGCGAGCAAAAGAATGAAACAAAACAACAAAACGCAACGACACAAAGCCGTGCAGCCGGTTTGGTTCAAGCCTGTCGGCGCAGACCAGATCCGCGTTTCTCAGGATGACTGGGTCGACCCCGAAGGCCGAAATGATGGGGAGTGGCGCAGCCGAGAGCCCGCCCAAACCAGAGCCAGTCCCGAGGACACGTTACGGTGAGGAGATCAACGGCGCTCTGACTGAGGCACTCACACCGCTGGTCGATGACAAAGGCTGGCCCTTGTACGGACACGCCCTGGCATCGGAGATGCTGGACCGCGGCAGGGTTGAGAAGTTGGGGGAGGTGCTGAGAGCGATTCGCCAGGTGGCCTGCTGATTTAACGTTTGTCATCTCTTGCTCCTGCCCCCTCGCTTCTCCTCATCTGCCCTGTCGCGTCGTCGGCTGCGCGCCCCCGCCCTTGCCCAGGCGGCGCCGAACTTCTCGATCGCCCCGCGCGTGGTGGAGGAGGTCATGGCCAACATCGGCACGGCCAAGAAGGACGACATCAAGTTGAGAGAGGTTGAGTCCTGGGCCAAAGGCGCGTCGCTGAGGCTCCGAACTCTCTTGCTTCACGCGGCTGGCCTCGCTCGCAAGGAGAAGCCGCCGAACAGGGCTCCTGCGTGGTGGACCAACCTCATGGCCAACGAGAGCAAGGTCCCAGAGCCGAAGAAGGCAGCGCTGCAGAAGAGCAACGCGAAGGACGAGACCAAGCCCGATAAGGGGCCCAAGCCCGAGGAGGGATCCAAGCCCGAGGATGCGTTCACGTTCGGATACGACGAGAGCATGAAGCGCGCATGGTGATGCGATGCATTCGCGGATCGATTTCAGCCTGAGGTTTGCGACAGCATGACCGTCAAGCCAGGCGAGACCTACGTCTGGGCGAAGTGGGCAGACGGAATGGAGTGCGAGGTGCTGGACTGCTTGGCGTCGACCTTTCTCGAGGATGCTGGACATGCGCCCTCGAAGACGCCGCGAGGGGGCAACATCTTGTGGACGGGCAACATGGACGGCCCCCAGGTGCAGGTCAAGCTTGTGATGGATAGGGGGATCTAGCTGATTCAGATCAAGCACAACTTGAAGCAGGTCACGCAGATCTCCACGCACGCCGTCGAGGAGGCGGAGGCGGTGGTGTTCATGAAGGACATCGCGAAGCGCTACTGCGAGGGGCGCCTCACCGCCCAAGACGCCGAGCAGCTGAAGAGGGAGAAGCTCAAGGAGCTGAAGAAACGCAAGGAGAAGGACGAGAAGGCGGCGGCACTGGCTGCGACCAGCGCAGCTTCGTCCATCGAGACGCAGCCTGCGGAGACGGCGGCGCGGAAGCGCCCAGCTGCCGCCCCCAAAAGAGCTTGCAAGAAAGCCAAACGCGAGGAGCCCGACAAGGAAGCAGCCACCGAGGAGAAGGGCGCACCCATGAATGGAGTGGAGAACCTGACGATCGTCGAGAATAAGCCCGAGGAGAAGCCCCATGAGGGCAAGGAGGAGCCTCAGCCGCTGGAGAACCCCCAGGAAGCAACGGAGGGGCCACCAGAGGAGACGGGCGAGCCCACGAGCGAGGTCGTCGAACCCATCGACGACGACTCCGCGGACGATAGCCCCGATGATATCCGAGAGATCCCGCCTCCATTGACTGGCCCGTGGGAGAGTATGACCACCTCGCTGAACACCATGATGGACGAAGTTGTTGAGTGCTCTGATTTCTGGAACAGTGCGTTTGACGGTGATGATGCGTGAACCGTGCACGGCATGTCGCCACGATGAGTTTGGTCTATGTGCGAGAAGGATTTTCAGATGGCTTGGCGGGGGAGCTGAGCCCACCGATCTCTTGAGCCTTTCTATTTCTGTGTTGTGTACATTGCGTTCATTCTGGTGCGCACTGCGTCGCTAGTGCTCTCGTCTCAAGTGTGTTATGTTGTTTTCCTCTCGCGCTCAGTTCTTTCAGTTTGCCGAGCTCGGGCAGACAGCGAAGCTGTCCAACGCACTCCAGGTGTGTTTCCAGGGGGCCGATTGAACCTCAAACACTTGAAGCCAAACGTACCACAGCCGAGCGAAACACGAGCATGACGACACACGAGCATGACGAAACACAGCTGAGGAGGGTAGGGAAAAGGATAATCGTTGGAAACAGGATGACAAACAGACGGCGGAGGAAAACACGGATAACGATAATGATGAATCTGAGAAAATCGCTATACCGTCAGCGTCGTCAAGATTGCTCGAGACCCTGCCCCCTCTTGGACGAAATGCCACAGCACGTGCGGCATGCGAGATACCATGGGCATTGGACCATGGAGCGTTGCTTCTCTGTTCTCTGGGGCGCAAAGATGGGCGCGAAGGGCCTGGGCCTCTACCCCCAACCCCGCCAGACAAGGGAGAGGAACGGGGGAGGGGAGTTGGGGGAGGTGGCGGTGCAGGAGCGGAGGAGGGAAGGGTCCAGAAGATGGGTGTGGTTGAGACCGAAAGGGTGTAGGTGAGGAGGTTGGTCCGAGGAACGCCCCAAAGGACCCCAAGAACCTGGCGATACGCAGATCGACACAACTCGCGGCCCCCCCCCCAAAGCGAATGGGGGGTCGGGGAGAGGGGCTCGACTCTTCGAGAAAGAGAGATCACACGTTTCACTCTGCCTCCGTGAGATTGCCACCTGCTGCCGCAAGTGCCGCGGCGCCCAATGGGACATCAAGCTCGTGAAAAAATATGGTTGACGCTTCGCGAATCCCCGCCAGCCCATCCAGAACCAATGCCCAGAGGAATTGCCTCGATCAGGGAAGTGGGCAGCACGCAGAGGAAGCCATTATGAGACATCTTGGGGTATATTGGGCCATCTTGGAGGTCATCTTGAGCTCCCCCAGGCGCTCTTGGAGTCATCTTAATCAGCCCCCCCCAAGAGGCCAACATGTTGCTAACACCTTCATAAAATCAATGATTTGGCATTCTCGCCGAGGCCTCTTGGAGCATCTTGGGTGCTTCTGGGGTCTCTTGGGGCCTCTTCGGGGTCTCTTGGGAGCCTCGTGGGGGCGTCCTGAAGGCCTCTTGGAGCTTCATGGCCACCTTGGGGCCCTCTCGGGGCACCTTTGGGAGCCTTGGGGGCAGTCGTTGGGCCATCTTGGGTGAGATCGATCAGGAGGGGGGGCCATTAATTACAGCCCTCCCCAGGAGGCCAAAATGGGGCCCAAACCATAATACAACCAATGATTGTGGCTTCCTCGCCGAAGTCGTTTTGGGCGCACTCGCGGACCCCCCGTCCAGGTCCAGGGGAGGGGGTAGGGGGGAGGGGTAAGCCCCTCCCCGAAGGGGAAGAAGGAGGGGTGGACTAGGAAACGCTCTAAACCACCGACGCCCAGAGGGCTGATGGGATTCAAGCAGGCATGTTGATACCGACCCCAAAGGAAATCCAGCGATTCTGTCCAACAGCGCGAAACACGCTCTTGCCCACTAAGGCTTTTTCAGGGTCAGAAACCTGGTAGTGGGCAGGAGCTTTTCGGCTGGTTTTTGAGCGCACTCAAATAGCTTACGCCACCCTGCTGATATCTCAGAAGAAGGTCTTCCCCCCTCCTCCTTATCATCCTCCTCCTCCTTCTCGTCTGCCCTTATCAACTCCCTCTTGATCTCTTCTTGTCCACCTGCCCGTTCCGAGCACCCTCCGCCCCAACCGTCGCTTGGCCCGCGTGGGTGGTTTACCCAAGAACAAATCGTTGTGCCAGAATACTATGAAAATAACGGGCAGTGGATTGAGTGGGTTCGGTACCTTAGGAACCCGCCACCCCAGCCGCCTCCGCCGCCCCCACGACCCCCCCATGTCAGCCGAAGGGCTGGCGGAGCTCGAGGCAATAATCGGTTGGGAAGAACTCGGGGCCATGATCGCTTGAGGGGAGATAGGCTCGCCTCATCATGCGCTTGCTCCTGCGCCTGCTTCTGCTCTTGTTTCTGCCTCTGCTCTTGCCTCTGCTGCTGGTCCTGCTCCTGCTCATGATCCTGCTGCTCCTCCTCCTCCTCCTCCTCCTCCTCCTCCTCCTCCTCCTCCTCCTCCTCCTCATCCACCTCCTCCCCCTCCTCCTCCTCCTCCTCGTCCCCCCCCCTCCTCTGCCCCGCCCCCAGAGTAGGATAATTGGGGGTGAGAAGGAGGGGGCAAAGAGAGTTGTTCGAAAGAGTCGACACGTATGCCGCGCAAAACAGAAGCAACTGGCAACGCATGCAATTACGTACGTTGCATCATACGAAATCGCACGGCCAACCTCATAGACAAGCAGGAAGCAGGCAGCATATAAAACACGCAGCATAAGCAGAAAGCACAGAGCTGAAAGACAACTGGCAAAGCATGCAATTGCACATAATGCAACATGTGACAGCACGCATCACGCAGCCAACCATAGTTCACAGTACCATCGCCGTTTTTTTCTCAGTTCTAGCTGGACGCACTGCGGCGTCCTGTTGTGTGAACCTCGCATCACACTTTCGAGGATCGACCTTTCCTGATGACAGTCCTGGTTGAGAGCCTCGACAAGGTCACGGCGGGCGCCCCCTCCCCCGTCTCCACGACGGCACCGGGGTCCAATGCAGGAGGAACTCCAGCTGTGACGCCTTCGGCAGCGAGTGCGCCCCAGACACCCTCAGAGGCCGCCCCGCCCGCGCCCATTGAGGTCCATGGCCCCCCCGGAGCCCCAGCTGATGGGCAGGGCGGCGGGCAGCTCAACAAGCAGGGGCCCGAAGGTACGCTCCTTGAGGATAGCCAGCGTGAGGAGACTTTCACAGTGCCAGGCAATCCACGTGACATCGCTGCTGCCAGAGCCCACGTTCCGGAAGCCCCCGCATCGCAGCCGCCCGCGCACTTGTCGAGGCCCACGTTTCCGCGCGAGGGCATGTCGGAGCAGCAGTACAGCGAAGTCGTGGCAGCAGACAGGGGATTCTGGCAGAGGGTCGAGGCGCTGCCAGGCAAGGCAGCCGAGGAGTCCGACGGCCCGCCCGACGGCCCGCCCGACGGCCCGCCAGACGGCTCGCCCGACGGCCCGCCCGACGGCCCGCCCGACGGCCCGCCCGACGGCCCGCCCGTCGACGGCCCGCCCGACGGCCCCCCCCGCGTCCCAGAGGGCATGAGCCAGGAAGAATTCCTGCGCAGCTTGTCGAGCCAGCAGATGGGGAGGGGCCGCTACGACAAGCATGAGCTCGATGGCGAAGACGATGCAGGCAGGGATCCCCACCTGGAGGAGGCCGAGATGACCAATTTCGAGATCAATGCTCGCAGCCCTCTGGGCTGGCGCTTCCAGAGGGAGTTGGCCTCGGATAAGGAGCTGAAGAAGTCGTGGCTCGAGTGCAGGGGCAACCACGCGAAGCAGGCTTTCAGGCAGAAGTGGTGCAAGGCAAAGTTCGAGATGTACAGGAAGAGCCGCGAGATGATCAATCGCCATCAGGTCGCGACTGCAGACATGGGCGTCGACCACCCCCTGGACAGGATCAAAGTCGAGGAGGGAAACACCGAAGAGGCGGCTGAGCGTGCCTGGCGTTACGCACACGCGTGCGTCATGATGGGCACCCAGTGGTACCGCTTCAACGCCATGACTAGAGCCATGGAGTTCCTGTACGTGAAGCAGCAGTACAATGATATAGTCACGCAGTGCTGGCAGACTACGCAGCGCGAGGAGAACAGAGGCCGCCTTCTTGCAGTATTCGCTGAGCCCGAAGGGCGCACCACGTTCGAACCAGTTCGTGCAGCTGCAGGTGCAGCGCCGCCATCTGCAAGCGGCGGCGCGGCGGCCAGCGCTGCCTCGCGCAGCGGCAACGGACCTGCGCCCGCAGCTCCATCCGCAGATGCACCCGCAGTTCAGCCCGCAGCTGCGCCCGCAGCTGCGCCCGCAGGTCCAGCTGCGCCCGCAGCTGAGCCCGCAGCCGCCGCGGCGCGCGCGGCCCAGGAGGAGGCCGCCGTCGGCGACGAGGCGAGGGAACCGCCCAACAAGAGGTCGAGGGAGTCTGTGAGGGGCCAGGCTCCGTCGCCGAAGCCAGCACCTGCGACGCCGAAGGGCAAGGGCAAGGGCAAAGCTAAGGCTAAGGCCAACGCTTCAGCCTCTAAGGACCTGAGGGCCAAGATCAAGGATGCGCAGCAGCTGAAGGTGGCGTATGGCCAGGCGAGCTCCTCGATCGCTTGCATCTCAGCCCAGATTGCAAATTCTCCCGACTGGTCGCGGCTGAAAGACAGCGTGCTGGTGGAGCCGATGACGAAAGCCAACGACGACATGATCAAGTATGTGTTATCCAATCCCATCGCGACCATGCTTATCGGCCAGAATGTAGAGCAGATTCAGGCGAGCTACGATGACCCTGCCCAGATGGATGTCCAGTTGGCGACCCTGACCAGCGACCTCGGCGAGCTCGTCGACAGGGCGCAGAAACAGGCGGACAAGCTCTCGAGGATGCATTATGAGAAGATGAAGGAGTATTGAAACGCTAACTGAGGTTCAATTCAGATACAGGCTGGAATGGGTGACAGTCGATATGCAATTGGGCGAGGCTCTTACACTGTAAATTCTCGTGCATGCGGTACTTTCAGAGCCAGCTTGTGCAGCGCGCATCATAATATATCGTGCACGAGTGATCTGCGCGTCTTACTTTTCTCGGGCGTTCGACTAAGTGTCGAACGCAGTCGCCGCAGGGGTTGGCGACCAGCGCGCCTGTGCATTCGCCTGTGACGAGCCCTGCCTTTGCCTCGAGGGCTCCCCTGGGGGCAAACGTAGCAGGGTAGAACG